CCTCCTTTTGCTCCTTTCCCCCTCTTCTGCCTCCTCCTCCTCTTTGCCTCCTCCCTCCTCTTCCTGCCTCCTCCCTCTCTTCTGCCCCTCCTCCCTCTTCTGCCTCCTTCCCTCATTCTGCTCTCCTCCTTCTGTTCTGCTGCTTCCTTCTCTCGTCCTCCCTCCTCTTCTGCCTCCTCCCTCTTCTGCCTCCTCCTCATCTTCTGCCTCCTCCCTCCTCTATCTGCCTCCTCCCTCCTCTTCTGCCTCCTCCCTCCTTCTTCTGCCTCCTTCTCCTCTTCTGCCTCCTTCCCTCTTTGCTCCTTCCTCCTCTTCTGCTCTCCTTCCTCCTCTTCTGCCTCCTTCCTCCTCTTCTGCTCCTCCCTCCTCTTCTGCCTCCTCCCTCCTCTTCTGCCTCCTCCCTCCTCTTCTGCCTCCTTCCTCCTCTTCTGCCTCCTCCCTCCTCTTCTGCCTCCTCCCTCCTCTTCTGCCTCCTCCCTCCTCTTCTGCCTCCTCCTCTCTTCTGCCTCCTTCTCCTCTTCTGCCTCCTCCCTCCTCTTCCTGCCTCCTCCCTCCTCTTCTGCCTCCTCCTCCTCTTCTGCCTCCTCCCTCCTCTTCTGCCTCCTCCTCCTCTTCTGCCTCCTTCCTCCTCTTCTGCCTCCTTCCTCCTCTTCTGCCTCCTCCCTCCTCTTCTGCCTCCTCCCTCCTCTTCTGCCTCCTCCCTTCTCTTCTGCCTCCTCCCTTCTCTTCTGCCTCCTCCCTCCTCTTCTGCCTCCTCCCTCCTCTTCTGCCTCCTCCCTCCTCTTCCTCCCCTTCCTCCTTCACCCCCTCTCCCTCCCCTTTCCCCAAGGTTGATTCCTTTTATGGATTCTAGGGGAAGGATTCCTTTCCAGGAATACGGGAAGGGAAAGACCCTTTACGCTGGTGGAGGGCTCTTGATCCAAGTAATTCAAACTAAACCTCCCCCCTCCCTCGGATCAAACCTGATTACCTCCCAGGCGCTGCTCGACCCTCGGTGATTTAAGCGCTACCCGATTACTATAATAGTAATAATAATTCTAGGTTGAAGAAATAGGTATTTTAGTGGGGGGGGGAGAAGTAGAGAGGGGATACAGTGTTGTAGTTCTGGGGAGAATATAGATGTGTCATTGAGATGTAGAATGCAGCAATTGTTGGAGATAAGGTTGTGTGTGGGAGGGGTGAATGTTGAAGGTAAGGTCGTGTATGGGGGGTGAATGTTGAAGGTAAGGTGTGTTATGGGGGGGTGAATGTTGAAGGTAAGGTGTGATGGGGGGGTGAATGTTGAAGGTAAGGTGTGTATGGGAGGGTGAATGTTGAAGGTAAGGTGTGTATGGGGGGTGAATGTTGAAGGTAAGGTGTGTATGGGAGGGGTGAATGTTGAGGTAAGGTGTGTTATGGGGGTGTGAATGTTGAAGGTAAGGTGTGTATGGGGGGTGAATGTTGAAGGTAAGGTGTGTTATGGGAGGGGTGAATGTTGAAGGTAAGGTGTGTATGGGAGGGTGAATGTTTGAAGGTTAAGGTGTGTATGGGAGGGGTGAATGTTGAAGGTAGGTGTGTATGGGAGGGTGTATTGTTGAAGGTAGGTTTTGTATGGGGGGTGTGATGTTGAAGGTAATGTTTTATGGGGGGGTGAATGTTGAAGGTAAGTGTGTTGGGGGGTGAATGTTGAAGGTAAGGTTGTTTGGGGGGTTTGAATGTTCAGGTAAGTTGTGTATGGGGGTGAATGTTGAAGGTAAGTGTGTTGCGGGGTGAATGTTGAAGGTAAGGTGTGTAGGAGGGTGAATGTTGAAGGGTTTAGGTTGTATGGGGGGAAATTTGAGGTAAGGTGTGTATGGGAGGGGTAATGTGAAGGTAAGGTTTATGGGGAGGGTGAATGTTGAAGGTTAAGGTGTGATGCGGGGTGAATGTAAAGTAAGTGTGTTATGGGGGGGTGACTGTGAAGTTAAGGTGTGTATGGGGGGGTGAATGTGAAGGTAAGGTGTGTATGGGGGGTGAATGTTGAGGTAAGGTGTGTATGGGGGGGTGATGTTGAGGTAAGGTGTGTATGGGGGGTGAATGTTGAGGTAGGTGTGTATGGGAGGGTGAATGTTGAAGGTAAGGTGTGTATGGGGGGGTGAATGTTGAAGGTAAGGTTGTTGTGGGGGGGGTGAATGTTGAAGTAAGGTGTGTATGGGGGGTGAATGTTGAAGGTAAGGTGTGTATGGGAGGGGTGAATGTTGAAGGTAAGGTGTGTATGGGGGGGTGAATGTTGAAGGTAAGGTGTGTATGGGGGGGTGAATGTTGAAGGTAAGGTGTGTATGGGGGGGTGAATGTTGAAGGTAAGGTGTGTATGGGGGGGTGAATGTTGAAGGTAAGGTGTGTATGGGGGGGTGAATGTTGAAGGTAAGGTGTGTATGGGGGGGTGAATGTTGAAGGTAAGGTGTGTATGGGGGGGTGAATGTTGAGGTAAGGTGTGTATGGGAGGGGTGAATGTTGAAGGTAAGGTGTGTATGGGGGTGAATGTTGAAGAAAGGGTGTGTATGGGGGGGTGAATGTTGAAGGTAAGGTGTGTATGGGGGTGAATATTGAAGGTAAGGTGTGTATGGGGGTGAATGTTGAAGGTAAGGTGTGTGTGGAGCAGTAATAGTGAAGAAGTTAGTGTCGGGGGGGGGGTAAGGAGGGGTAACTTAGTGTGATGGGTGGTCGTGGCGACTAATGGTTCACACTGACGGTATCTCGTTATCAAGCAGAACTAGACTCCCTGATAATGTGTGTTGATAACGCAATATACACGGGAGACACTAAGAGCCTCGTCTCTTATTTGATAAGAGTTCAACACAAGTTTGTAACCTTAAGACTCTCAAGTCGTTGAATAAGGATTTAAAGCCAGGTTTGAACTTTGTCTCGTGAACCATTCTTGGTGTTCATCGTGAGCTAGGGACACTTTTAGGGAGGTAGGGACATTCTTAGGGAGGTAGGGACACTCTTAGTGAGGTAGGGACACTCTTAGTGAGGTAGGGACACTCTTAGTGAGGTAGGAACACTCTTAGTGAGGTAGGAACACACGTGGACCTCACGTGTCATTGCAGCTTTCGCTGCCTCTCTCTGCCATTAAAAATGAAACCTAAACGTTCTCGCATCGTTTTGACGTAATTTGAGGTTAATTTACGTTCCCTAACTTCGAATAGTAAGAGATTTTTTTTTTCCGAAGGCGAGAGGGCATCAACGTAGCGAAGTGCAAGGAGTGCGAGTGCAAGAGCCCACGTCTTTTTCTGGGAGAGTTGAGTTGGTCATTGTGATGAAGTGGTGGCTGTTTACCGCGGTGTGCGATAACCGAGTCTTGTGTATCATTTCGCCAGCCAGTGGCTTCTTCAGTCCAGGCTTGAGGGACTGTCTACCTCAGACTCCTCCTCATCTTCCTCGTATCTCTGCATTGGACCGAAGATGCCACTGGCTAACGAGAAGTTACCAGAATAAAGTTACCTAAATGTTGCACAAGTGTCTCGTTTATCAAATTTCCTGTGTGGTAAACCGTTTATTCACAGCTTAACGTGTGCCTGATACGTTGAGCTTGTCGGGGAGCGAAACGTTTGGCTGCACCGAGGACCGTTGTGTTGGGAACTTTTCTTTAAAAGAACATTGAGCTGAATCATTGGACATTGTAGTTAGGCTGTAGACGCTAAAAAAAAAAAAAACGAAAACCTAAACTATCGTTGAACTGGATGAGGGAAAAGTTGCTGTTGACCTGGAAAACGTTTAGGTGAGAGCGCTTGTTTCCACATTGTAGCTATCATGAAGGCGTACAAGATTGGCTAAAATCATAACTTTAAAAGAGGTGGACCGGTAAGCCAGTGGAAGGCCTCGGTCAGATGGCCGAAAGCTCCACCGGCGGGTTATAATGACTAAGACCCCGTGTCAAGAGACGCTTGTCCTGTTTCCTGACGAATGTTACCTAACCTAGCAATGAAGGTGATGTTTTTATCTAGCCATGGCAAGGAGAGTTATATTTCAGTTATTTTTTTTTCTATGGTGAGATGAGCGCGCAGACGCGTTCCAACTTGGTATTGAAATCACGAATCACTCGATTAGTGTACTTTCGTCTCTCAAGTCGTGCAATCTTTTAATTTCAGAATTATGATCATGATTTATTCTGAGGATTATAATGTTTTTCCCTTAATTAATTTATATATATATATATATATATATATATATATATATATATATATATATATATATATATAATATATATATATATACGTACATATACACACAGTACTGGTTGTGTCTTAAGACTACAAGGATTAAGATCCCTGATGTTTTCCATTTGATCGAAAGAAAAAATGTACAAGTTGGAAATAAAACTGGACCACGTTTCGGTCTGGCCTGGCCTGGCCCATTTGCCAGGTCCCATGTCCAGGAGGGACCGAAGCGTCTAAGAGTTTCGTTTTCCAGTTTGTGGGCACATTGGGACGGGTTGAATTTTAGTTAGCTTATATAGGGAAAAGTGTGTGTCAGGTACACATAGGTGTATACTAAGACACATGTGTAGTGCTAGAATATTTATTGAAAGAGAAGCTTCGCTCTAGGGAGCTTTTTCAATCCGTTGTTTACCGTATTCTCCGGCATATAAGACGCACGAGAATATAGGACATGTATAAGATGATATTTCCAAGCAGTCGTAAAGTAACGTAACGTAAACAACTGCTAAAGCATAACCCTAAAGCCTACCTTTAATCCTGACCTTGAGCATATTAGGCGCAGAGTGATTTTCAAAGACTTTTTTTAGGGGGGGGGGGAAGAAGTTGCGCCTTATATGCCGGAAATACGGTAAGTTTCAAGAAAGCTTCTCGGGCGAAATGTTACCTCGATAAATCTCCTGGTACTAAATGTGTCTTTAGTTAATTTTCCTCCCCTGGGGTGCCGGGAACGAGATCATTGTCTGATCTCAAATCTTTACAATCATATGTACGTACATTCCTAGAAAGGTTCAGCTCTCCTAGAGTGAGCTCTTCTTACACTAGATTTGTTTTCTTTCCTAGGCAGCAACAATGAGGCCCAGACCTTCCTGTCCAGAGGAGGTCAGGTCATCATCAGGATGAGAGGGCTTCCCTACGACTGTACTCCCAAGCAAGTGGTGAGTGCGCCAGCCCCCACCCCACCTCCCTCACACTGCCTTGCCACTATCTCCACATGCAGGGGATGGCCGGTTGACATCCCAGACTCAGAGAGAGAGAGAGAGAGGAGAGAGAGAGAGAGAGAGACTGGACTGAGAAACAGAGAGAGACTTAAGTGGTTGGTTGATTGAGATTACCTATATTTAGATACACGAACTTCTTGTGTGCCATCTACCACACTGGAATATTTTCCATTGCATGCCTCTTGTTGTTTCCGTTAATGGTGCCCCAAAAGTTCTTTTTTTGTCTTTACTTTTATAGACGTCAAGGAAGTTATTCTTATATTTCATCCTCTTGCAACGAGGACCTTTCTAGTGCCTTTATTCTTGCAACAAGAACCTCTCCAGTGCCTTTATTCTTGCAAAGAGGACTTTCCAGTGCCTTCTTGCAACGAGGACAGTTCCAGTTCCTTTATTCTTGCAACGAGGACCTCTCCAGTGCCTTTATTCTTGCAACGAGGACCTCTCCAGTGCCTTTATTCTTGCAACGAGAACTTTCCAGTGCCTTCAGTCTTGCACTCGTTAACAAACATTTTAACACCTCAGTGTATACTAATGGAGATTTTGATAAAAGTTGAAGATGTCTGTGGTAATCAGTGTTATTCTGGAATGATTTCTGAACGTCATGTAACGTGTCATGGCTAACATTGTTACCTTTATGACGTTTAATGATTTGAGTGAATTTTTTTTCATGGCTAATATTTCACTCTGAATGAGACATTATCTGATAAAAATTAACATAAATGGGGATTTATGGAAATTAGTGTTCACGATCACCATCATACTTTTCATTATTTTCCCTTCTTATTCTTTCTTCCTCTTTGTTTATCCTTCATTCTCTTATTATTCATCCTTTTTCCTTATCCCCCCTCCTCCTTTGTCTCCTTTTCTCCCTTCTCTCCTTTTCTCCCTTCTCTCCTTTTCTCCCTTCTCTCTTCTCCCTTGTTCCCTTCATTCTCAATTTCACACTGTCTTCATTACTTTTCATTTCTCTGGTGGACACGGTGGCCGAAATTATGGAGAATATTAGAGCCAAAGCGTCCGTAGCTCAGTGGCTTCTGCAACCGAAAGGGCTCAGGTTAGATTTCCAGGCGAGAAGGAAGTCTCCATTCACCTGAATAGAGAGAAAAACACAGGCTACAAAAGGAGCTTTTACCGAGATAACGCTTCACTCGGTATCGAGCTTCGTCATACAGATGTTACAGTTAACACGCCTGTGTAACCTCTGTATGGCTTGATTAAGATCCACACAGAGCGAAACGTTGTCATAGTGAAAGCTTGTTCTGTGGTCTATGAGTTATTATTTATACCTGCTGCCCCCTAACCAACCACCGGTAAATATGAACGTTGGTGATAGTCGGCTGTTCTGAGTCTCATCCTGTGGAAGTGTATTCAAGAACGCAACTTAAATAAGCCACATGTCTTTCTTGGGTTATGAGTCCCATTGGGTTAGAGACCCCAAGTTCTTCCCTGTGACTGCCTGCCACCACTCCACACTTATAGCACAGCTTATAAAGTAAATAGTTAAGCTACATAACACGGCTACTAACTGGTGAAGATCTTGCGCAGTGCCGATAAGTTGATGAATAAAAAAAGAGGTGCAATATTTGAGTATAGTAACGTGTTGCACGTGTCTTAGTCATCAACTGGTGAAGAGCATTCTTCTGGTGAATACTCTAGTGGTGTGTGGCACTCGTGTTATTCTCTACGGTGATTTTTTTTTTTCAGGAGGCAAGTATAGGTCATCGCCAGAGTCTTTGAGTCACTCTTCTGCCTCAGATTGCCTCTTTTGCTCCCAATTTCACCATGATTACTTTTTTTTCGGCCTGAGATTTGATCCCTGGACCTCGGTGATGAGTGGACTCTCTCTAGTCACTAAGCTAAGGTAGACTAGCAAATATTAGTGTGTGAAACACTGGAGGATTTCTCCGCACAGTGTTTGACCCTACAAGCTCCCAGACGAGATTGGAGTGTTCCTCCATTCTTATGCTTTTATAATTTCTCTAGCCTGTTAGTCTTGTTTCCTGCAGTCCTTCCTCTTCATCGTGGTGTGTGTGTGTGTGTGTGTGTGTGTGTGTGTGTGTGTGTGTGTGTGTGTGTGTGTGTGTGTGTGTAAGAGATTGGGAGTCAATGTGCAGCCCCCCGTCCCACCCCAGCACTGTCTTAATCACCAGTCACAAACACTTAAGATGGTGTCCTCCCGTGATAGCTCAGAAGCGCTACCAACCCTTTCGCTGTGGCTGTGTCGGCTTCACTACTGTCATCGTCACTGCTGTCGTCATCACTGCTGTCGCCGTCACTGCTGTCGTCGTCACTATCACTGTTATTAATTTGTGACTCAATGTATCATCATCCTGTAGTGGAAGAATGCATGCGTCCCCATCAACCACTCTCCTAATACCACCTTCGTCTCACCCACCACCATCCTTGTCTTCTCCGTTACCTCTATCATCACACCTCAAACTCTCCGTTAACCATCACTTTCATACTCTATTGTAACACCCACTACTACCACCGCCATCTTCCATACTACTACATAGACACAAACTCCCATAACCTTCCCGTTCTCACTACTAATCGTCACCTTTACCAACAAACCCCAACATCCCATTACCTCCTCATCCAAATCTTGTCAAAACTTATATTCCTCTTCCCCCCCATCCTGCCGCAGGTGGAGTTCTTCGAGTCTGGTGAGAACGGGTGTCAGATTCTGGACAGTGAGGATGGTGTGCTCTTCGTTAGGAAACCTGATGGGCGGGCCACCGGGGACGCCTTCGTGCTCTTCAGCTCGGAGGAAGACAGCACCCGGGCGCTGGGCAAGCACAGGGAGATCATCGGCTCAAGATACATCGAACTCTTCCGCTCGACCACAGCGGAGGTGCAACAGGTGAGGGAGCAGGTGTGGATGACCGAGGTTGTTTCTTATGTGGGGGATCGGGGGGGAAGGGGGTTACCGTGTCAGTGACATGTCAATGAATAACAAAAAAAGGAATAATACCTTGACTGGAACGGTACACAAATAACCCGCGCATAGAAGAGAGGAGCTTACGACGACGTTTCGGTTCGACTTGGACCATTTACAAAGTCACACAAGTGCAACATCTGGATATCTTTATTGTAGACGTTTCGCCATCCAGTGGCTTTATCAATACAGAGTCTAGGACATAATAGGAAGACAGTAGGGACTGATTACCTCATCTTTTGTATATAGTTCTACTGTCTTCCTATTATGTCCTAGAATCTGTATTGATAAAGCCACTGGATGGCGAAACGTCTACAATAAAGATATCCAGATGTTGCACATGTGTCTTAACTTTCATATTGTCGGTATTTTATACCTTTCTTGCACAAAGTCACACAATGTGACTTGGTAAATGGTCCAAGTCGGACCGAAACGTCGTCGTAAGCTCCTCTCTTCTATGTGCGGGTTATTTGTGTAACATGTCAATGGTATGTAAATAAGAGTCCGTTACCTAGTGTCACAGCTTAGGAATGTGACAGTTGAATTTGAGTCGCTAATACTAGCTGGTGGTTTCACATAATTCGATCTTCATCAGGAATCTAATTACACCAAACAATGTTGGATCCATTCACTGAGCATTTTTAATATCCTCTGCACAAAATGGAGGATCGACTACATCACCAGTATGATGAGACGAGGTATCTTCAACCACGTTCGACTTGCCAAGCAAGTGTGGGATGCAAGGATTGAATTCCTGTATTGTCAGACTCGCTCTCTAATCGTTCAGTAGATTGTTCTGGAACAAATGAATTAGTGTTGCTTGATCTGTCTAGACATGAATTGGATGCTGGTAGATATCATGGAAATGTTTTAAAGCCCAAACATTGGCTAACACTATTTGCTCAATTACAACCTTGGTTAAGACTTTACTAGCAAATTCAAATGGGTGTTAAACTTGCCATCAGTCCTTTATGCTAGGACGGGGCCTATGCTAGTAACACTAGTGTCTGTTGTTAGAAAGGTTTTTCAAAATCAGGAAACATTAATACAGGAGCAGAAGTTAACTTGTCTTCTAATGTCTGAAATGTTCTTTCTTGACAGAAGGTCCAAATGAAATTATCATCTTTCTTAATTCGGTTGATGGAGCAGAAATGGAAGAAAAATTTGCAGTGAAGGTTCTGTAGAAACCTGTTGAACCCATAAATCAGCAATTTTTGGTATTGGAAAATTTTGTACAGCTGTTACTTCAGAAATTTGATATCTGACCTGAGGCATTGACCTTCTTAGAGCTTTATTTTTAAGTTAGCTTCTTCAGGCTGACCAAGTGCCAAATCTTGAGATGTGTTTCCATGTCTTTTGACATGATTGTTATCTAAGTACACCATAAGGGCATTGCCCACGAAGCTTCTAAAAGTATTTGTCATTAACTTTGAAAATGGGGTAGATGAGCGTAATCCAAATGCCATTTTGAGGAAATGATAATGACCTGTAGGGGTGGAGAAGGCTGTTAACACTTGGCTGTCCTCATGGAGAAGGACTTGCCAAAGCCCTAGGATGGAGAAAACTTTATTAACACCTATAATGTGTAACAAGTCACCGGGAACAGGTAGTGAGGAAAAGATCTGAAATTGCTTTAGCATTCAGCTTCCAGAAATCAATCACCTGATGCAAAATATCTTGGGTACTAAAATCATAGGCGCATTTCAGGGTAAATTGCTGAGTGATGACACTATTATCAAGCAGCTGGTTGAATGAGACTTCTGCTATTGCTACCTGAGAATGTAGTAAATACGTTAGCAGGTATGTAAATAGGTCTAGTACCAGGCTCTAAGTGGAATGTGGTGTAATATTCAATTTGTTAAATACATCATCTTGCCTGACAATACTAGCTTTATATATGTTCAGTACTTGTAAAAGATCTGTGACTACACCTGGGAAGTCAGTTGGGACTTTTTTCCTCCCACTGGTGGGAAAGATTCTTCCTGGTAGTGCAAGAACATGAAGATACACAAGATCTAGAAACCAGGACCTTAAAAAATAAAGGGTTGACAGGAGTACATTTACATTTTATATTTTTGAGACAGTATGGGATGGAGCGTGTGTGTGTGTGTGTGTGTGTGTGTGTGTGTGTGTGTGGAGGGGGGGAGATGAATTTAAAACGTCTGTGATATTGCCTTGCAGTCCTCTAAAAGTTAGGGAATTCTGACCTTCGTAGGGAAATTCATGAAATCTCCTCAAACATCTTCGACAAATGATTAGTCATTTATAACACATTATTGGAGAAGAGCTAAACCCGTATCGAACATATCATACCTGGGGAATTGGGGGGTTATCAGGTTTGAAAAAAAAAAAGAATCGACACTGTAGTTCGTTTCTTCAGCTGACAGCTCTTGAAAGGTATTTATAATAGTTGTGGAAGTAAAGAGAGAGTTTCATAATGGTGGTGGTAATCTCTGCTGTCTCACGTATTGTCGTTGTCCTCAAGAGCTGATAACCTCCACGAGTGGTTAGTAGACAAGACCAGGATAAGAAACTCCCGTCCTCTCCCAAGGCTGAGTCTTGTACAAGTAGCGTGTATCACAGCCACTCTGGCACCTTCACCAATCTTTCGTTAGCTAATCCCATCAGTGCACGCACACTGGTGGATCTTTTACTCTGATTAACTGAGTTACATAATCTTTATCTTCTCTAGTTACGACGCCCAAGGTTATTAGGCTGTTACTTTAGTCTCTCTCATTGCCCAGTTGCTTTACCTTCAAGACTTGTTGACGAACTCTGATCCTTCTCCAGTTTCTGTAAATACTTTATCAAATCTTTGCTCTCTCTTAAAATAACAAATTTCCATGACTTAAAACAGAAAATGAGAGTTCTTCAGTGACTGTTTTAACAAATTCCATAACTGTTTTAACAGAGAAAGAGTTCTTGCATGACTGTTTTAATATTGCAACACAATATTCCTCAAAGACTTGTTAAGTTATACCATGAAGTAAGGAAAGATCCTGAACTTCACCTTACGAAACAAAAATGTGATAGTAATTGTGGACAAGGAAGATTATAGTGGAAAAAATGAACATGTTATTAGAAGACGGAGGAACTTAAACTTATACTTGACTGCATCGTTACTTTAAATAAATAATAACAGGTTGTTTATGTAAGGTGTTACGACTGACTCTCAGGTACCCCACACTTTTGAGAGAAAACTTCAGATGAAGCCTCACTTCGTCCTGGCTCGTTATCAGGTCACTGGACTTAGTGACGTTGTGTAGAAATGTCCTCTTCAAATGGGCGTAATTTGTTTAAGGCTTCCAGCTTCGGTATTGTGAATTTTATTCATTATGAGAATATATATTTACATGTGTTGACCTTCGATGTCAAAAAAAAAATGGACTAACTTTGTACTGTACTTATTTCCATGCTTATCTGGGCGCAGCGCTGACCGTAAGTACCTGAGTTATGTATGTTGATCTCTGGTATATATAACACCTGAGCACCACAGCCGATTTGTAATCTCAGGATCACTAATTCGTGGGTTCTCGATCCCAAACACTCCACTGAATCTTTTTCGGTGTTTTGGATGCATGTGTGGGACGTTCACCCTACACTTGAATGTTTCTAGACACGTGAGGGGGAATTATAACCCCTACAGTTTAACATGTATCTTGATACATGTGTGGGAGATACATCTCACCAGTTGAGATCATATCTGGGTACGTATACCTGGATGCAGGAACCAAGCCACATGGGGATGTAAATCTATACCTCCAGATCTTTCTCACTCGCGTGCGCCGTCAGGAGCTATGCAGAGTCGCATGACAGCAACACATAGGAGGGGGAAATTTACTGAGGCAAGGCAGAAAGCATCAGAGAATTCCCCCTCCTGTCTGTTCCTGTCTTGGAACATTGCATAGCTCCTGACGACGCACGAGTGTGCCAAAGATCCAGCGTTAAAGACTTCCATCCCTATGTGGCTTGTTGTGCACACATGAATGTGTCACCTTGCATGTTTCATTCTTCATTTATCATATTTTCTTGTATGCTCCAGTATTTAGTGATTTTTATGGTTAAATATTCGCAGTCTGATTTCATTAAATACGATTTTTTTTTGTCCTGATTACTTTTGTTCAGAAATAATTTGTAGTAAATAATTTACGCCAACTCTGACATTTTAGTGTATTGTACCTAAAATTTTAAAATGTAAAAAAAAAAAAAAATGGTGCCCAGATACCTAAAGTCAGTGCCGGATCAGCCGGGCTGTGGCTCGTACGTCGGACTGCGTGCGGCCAGCAGTAACAGCCTAGTTGATCAGGCCCTGATCCATCGGGAGGCCTGGTCATGGACCGGGCCGCGGGGGCGTTGATCCCCGGAATAACCTCCAGGTAACCTCCGAAATGTCGAAATTTACAGTAAAGCAAAAATAAAGACAGATGTTTCGTATGAGATGTTCACATTTTGTTGTTCTAAAATTTTAGGCAGATATATTGGACGTGCATACGAGTGGGCGAGTTGGACCTGCCCAACTTGGATCAGTAGGCCCTCAGCAGTGCTCCTCCTTTCTTACGTTCTCACGAAGCCTGAGTTTAGGTGACACATTAAACTTGTCTTGGGCGATACTGCCGTCAACGACACAGACTAAACGAGCCTTCAAGATTGTCTTTAGTTACTGAGCGAGTCACCGTGTGACTGAGCGAGTCACCGTGTGACTGAGCGAGTCACCGTGTGACTGAGCGAGTCACCGTGTGACTGAGCGAGTCACCGTGTGACTGAGCGAGTTCACCGTGTGACTGAGCGAGTCACCGTGTGACTGAGCGAGTCACCGTGTGACTGAGCGAAGTCACCGTTGACTGAGCGAGTCTACCGTGTGACTGAGCGAGTCACCGTGTGACTGAGCGAGTCACCGTGTGACTGAGCGAGTCACCGTGTGACTG